TCGGAGAGTCTAGAATAGTAGTCCACAACCACGATGTACTATTTCCCTTCCAACGAGAATAGATCAATGCCGATTGTGTCCCATGGATATTGCGGCAGTCGTGTCTGGAGCAGCGGTTCGGTACCCAGCTTCCTATGTTCTTGTTGTACCTGGCACCTATTGTTATACCTTTTTTTGAAATATCTGGCCACTTACGGATTGTCTTGATCGTACCTCACGGTGACTTGTGTCCGTATGACCATGAGAATCTCTTTCGAGAGCTTCCAATCTGAGACTGGATGTACTGATAAGTCTTTCACCCTTCAAGAGCAAGTCATCGAGTAGTGAAAGTTCACTGGCCCCTTCTGTATAACGCTTGGGCTCTTGTGCAGGCTATCTACGGACAGTCATGCTTTAAGGTATAGGGTCACCACTGTACTCAGTGTGGTATATGCTTGGCTGCTGAACTTTATTCTTTCTAGCATTGGATGCGATGCTGGTAGCTACTGTAGGATAGCGGCTTCAAATACGTCCACGGAGCATTCAATGTCTCGGTAGCCGCTTTTAGCCACAGGGTTATGTTGTGCCTTTTGAAACAGCAGGTCACCTGCGAACGGTTTGTTTGGTGATCTTGTACAGGCCCCAAAGAAGAACAAGAACAAAAATTTGTGGAAATGACTGCGTTGTCGCTAAAATTGGGCAGCGATGCGTGGTCGGATCCCTATTCCAAGGTACCGCTGGCTCTCACCCTCCTTTCAGCCCTGCTGACAAGGCTCAGGTAGTCCCCAAGGACAAGGTGGACAGGATTGCCTCCAACCTATTTTCTTCTTTCTGTTCTTCGGTTGGCGCCATGCAATTCCACGTGATGTTGTAGAGCGTTGGTGTGCTTCCACACCAAGGGCATATGTATTTGTATGCTGTGGCGTAGCACGTATGCATTCTGTGGACGTTTATACATGTGCCGGTTGGGAGTCGGCGTAACAGCCAGGGAGTACTTGCGTTGTGTAGGATAGAGTGTCCAGAAATATTTAATTTTGCCGGATTGCTTTTTAACCAGGATCAATGGTGGTTGGGTCATACACGGTGTTGCCTTCGGAAGCTCGGTATAGTTAGCCTCATCGCAAGCCGCCTCATCTGCAATTAGCCTCGAGCAACCTCATCTTCATAGAGGTTCACAGTAATATCCTTGTGTCCCGGGCCCAAGTTATTGTCTGGGTATAGCTGATGCCCAGCTCTGTGGTATATTAGCCACGAAAAATATGGCTGTTTTTGCGCGACGAAAAAACTAGGGAAGGGGTCAATGGGAGCACTCCTTTTGACCCTGTCGCCAATTTTTTTCATCACCCAAAAAGACCGATATCTTTGTGACTTCTGCACGAACATCAACCAACTAGCGCTGCTGAGAGTACTTTATCTTCGCTGGTGTGAGATTGTATAATTATACTCGAGAAGGCGCATGCAAAAACGTCGCAGCCTTGGACTTAGTTCATTCGTGCGCTTGATCGTCAGCGGAAGAACCAGGGGCCTGTGACCTGTTTTGCGGTGAAATAAACGGCTCAGAACGTACTTGGACTATTGTTCACATGTTCAAGTGAAGGATGCGGCTGTATTCGCAATAAGTGAATATCTATGTTCTATCTCGGAGAGTGAACGTGAGGCATATGCCACCGGTCGCATCATTTCATGCGACTATTGCAGGAGAACTGCATCTAAGCCACAGTATGATGAATCCACTGAGAGTTTGTGGGGGCTTATTGTGTCGTAGTGCAAGAGCAGAACACTGAGAGCATGCTGGGCACTTTTAAAACAATGCAATTGTGCTGGGCCTCGGTACCACTGCATCTGCATGCATGAGTGGTCTCGCTGGCTCAGTCATATTTCGCAAGATCAGGAAGGAATTTTGGTAAATGGTTTGTTAATTCATGGAATGAGCTAACTTTGGACGTATCCCATGTCATGGCCTCCACTCTGTCTGGGCCAGCCCTGGTGCTTTCTAGGAACGCGATGTGTTCCAGGTACACATTTATTCATGTTGAGCTGATGCCTGCCTTTACAAGCCGCCTGAGCATTTCCTGGAGATTTTCATCCTGTTTTCTGATTGTTTTTTCGTATGTGTTGATGTCGTCTTGCAGGCCTGTCAGTCCATTCAGTCTATCTAAGACACTAAGCATTTCAAGCTGCTGAATTCTGGCAGCGTAGAAATGCCCAAGGGTAGTCTGAAGAACTGGACCAGTTAAAATGAAGTAATGAATGACGTAAACTCACTAGACTGTTCGAAGAGAGGCACTTGCCAGTAGCCTTGATGTGTGTCTGAGCGACTGAAGACTATTACCCGCTAGTTTGGCAAGTCATTCATCATATAGGAATCAGCAAGCATTCACGAACGTTCTGCTAATTTAGCTGGCCATAGACAATGCAACCTCAAGTCATTGTTCTTTTCCTAGATACTAAAATCGGGATGCGCCACTCTGTCGTTTGTTCCAACGTCTCTATGATGCCAAAATTTTCCCTCCGTTTTAGTTCCGTCTCGACAAAATGAAGAATAGAAATGGGCACTCTCCTTCGGTAGCTGACTGCATAGGGCTTTGTGTCAGTGGTCACTTCGATGTCGTGTGTGGTCTACATTAACGCTAGTACAGATGTTAGCTTTAGATATGCACTGGAATGCCAGGGATGTCACACACTTGCGTTTCTGCCAATTGCACTGGCCGCAGTTACTGTATTACTTTATGACTGAGAAGAGCTTCTCTCAGCCATTTGATGATGAAGGCCTTCTCTTCTACTCTTGCGTCTGGCCATTCCATGGTGACATCAACTAGCTTTCTGTATCGATTGGCACTTGACTTGGGCCTGTCAGCGCCTGTTTTTTTTGTTTCTAAAGTTTTCATGACGTGCTTGTGGTGGTCTTTAAATGCCCCTGCAGTGACATCAGCACTTCCGTCAACTGCGCATATGAGAGATGTGCTGTTCATCAGCGCGCTCACATTCTGAGGCTCATTGAACGCTGTGCTTCGTTCCTCATCGAGATTCCACTCTTCCACCCATTGTCTACACTCATATGAGCGGTTGGGCATGTCTTTATTGCGCACACTTGAGAAGCAGCCTGTTGCGTCGTGGAATTTCCCACACAGCTATTGAACACTTTAGCCGCCGCTGGACACTGCGCTTTCGTGTGGTTGCGGGCTCCTTCATACTACCAACAGCGTCCGGCGACGTCGCGTTTCATGGTGAATATATGGCGAAAACGTGCTTGAGAGAATGTTTCTGTTTCTTTATGGATGCCCGTTCTGTGGCCTGACTTTCTGACTTCGTTGCCAGCAACATCAGGGTGCTCCTTGTGGCGAATTTCGCTTTGCTGCTGCTTCACCATCTCTTCGGAGTTTTCGGTCTATTTTGCCACTGACTGCAGCGTCACTTTATGATCCAGCGCGTATCGTTCAGTCCGATGTCCAACAGTATGACCACGAGACTGTCACGGATGAGCAAATCATTGAGTTAACCGTATTCGCAAGCCTCGGCCACTTTTTGTAGGTGCCTGATGAACGCTTCGACAGGTTCATTGGGTTGTGATGCACGGCAGTTGAGCCTTGTTCTCTCGCAGATTACGTTCGTACATGGCATGAAGTGCTCCCCTAACTTCAGTTTCACGGCAGTGTAGTTTACCATTTTATCGCCAACTATTCAACTACGTATTTCCGTCCCGAAGGTCAAATGAACACACAAAGCGGTAACGTTCCCGTCGAGCAATCCTGTGCTCTAAATCCACCCGGTCCTAGAAATCAATCTTTTCAGGTTGCTCAAAGACGGAATAAATGAAGGAATTCCTCCCATTTCGCTGCTGCGCAGCCGCGATGTGCGGCGTTTCCTCCCCACCTGTCGGATATGCTCGGAACCGATTGCTTCACGGATGCTCACCGCTTGATATCTTGCATTGTGTAGTTCACTGTGCAGTTGGCGTCACCGCTGCCACCATATCGCAACCGATCACCGCTAAGCAGTCATTACAAGGGCTATTTACAGAACCCAGAACCCTTTATTCTGGCGTGGTAGGCAGGCCATGAAGCAACGCACATGCGGTGACTTCGCGCTCGAAATTTGATTGATTGATTGATATGTGGGGTTTAACGTCCCAAAACCACTATATGATTATGAGAGACGCCGTAGTGGAGGGCTCCGGAAATTTAGACCACCTGGGGTTCTTTAACGTGCACCCAAATCTGAGCACACGGGCCTACAACATTTCTGCCTCCATCGGAAATGCAGCCGCCGCAGCCTGGATTTGAACCCGCGCCCGTCGGGTCAGCAGCCGAGTACCTTAGCCACTAGACCACCGTGGCGGGGCACTCGAAATTTCTTGTCCATGCGTGAAGTCCCATTCTGCTTTTCGTCCACGCCACAGGCACAGCTCTCTGAGCCTGCCACGTGCCGTTGCCGTAGTCGGTGGTCTACGAATATATCGGGCAAATCCAGAGCAACTAAAAGTGCAACCGCTATGTATAAAAGCACTATGTTAGGACTTGTCTGTTGATGGAGTAGAGGGGAGGCTGTCCTTATTGCTCTTGTTTCTCTTTCTTTATTGGTCTGACCATTTTTATGAACTTCTCTGCATATTACACTATTACAATGCCTTCGATTAGCAACACAAGACACCGAAAAATATCCACCACCCAAACTTCAAGGAAACACACAAATATGGCAAAATAATTCTAAGTTTCTATCAATTAAAAACCATACTTTATGGAACTTAAAACGTTTTCAAGGATAACAAATGCCATTCGGTGCCTGAACAGTGCATGTGATGGATCAGGTATTTAATACATGTTCACTTAAAGCTGAGAATATAAAGGATAACGTTTCAATGGTTATCAATGTAAACCATGGCATATTAGTAAACATTCAGCACCAGTTTTGATTCCCTGTAAAAAGTATTACCTGTCAAGTTTCAATGAAGCTGCAGAGCCACGTGCTCTTTCGCGAGAAAGCATTTTGGTTATGGCAGCTTTATCTTCTTGATCACCCACGTATCGCATGCCGTCAGCTGTAGCATGCCGTAATGCCTCTACCATAACGTGTTCGAACTGGCCCGGAAGTTCTTGTAGTGCTGCAAGCAGGTTACGAAGTGAAATAAACGTTTCGCGTACAACGCTGTACTACTGTACTGATTCATGACTACTTGCGTGCACTTACAAGTTTTTTGCAGTGTGGATTTGACAGAACTCTTACATCAGTTCTGTAAACGAGGAGATTTATTGTGATAACTTCGCATTCTCTTGCCTTCTCGACTAATCGAACGCTGGGACAATGCAAACGTTGGGTATTCTGTAGCTCAGTGTTTTTGAACAAATAAAATTCAGAGCACCTACGGAATTGCACAAAGCGAGAAACAGATTTTCAGAAAGAAGAACGAAACTTTTCGAAACAATATTTGTTTTCCGTTCTGCGATGCTACATGCTGACAAATATGATCATACGAAAAGCTTCTCCTCGTATTCCGTACATTGAGCTGTCTGAGCTCTAGTATTTGTCTCGGAGCAATCGTGTTTATTTTGGAGCTTTCCTCCACCCATCGTGAACAGGCAGATGAACGGGCAAATAATGAACGGGCAGTTCACGATTTAAAGTTGTAGGCTACACTAGTTATTTTGCAGTGCGAGTTCCTGAATCCTGTATCTTTCGTGAATTTCACTGCATTCGTATTAAGTTAGGAACACTTTGAATGCAATCCAGTCGAACCCACTTGAAACTAAAGCGGTCTCAGCAATATACATCAACTATAACTGTCAAAAGCTGCTGTACCCTCAGCTTTTGCGTGTTTTCTATGATAAAATAACCAACTTACAGCAATGATTGAATGCGACATTATCGGCTATAAAAAGGAATTGGGACAGCTGGGCGTCCATCTTCAAATTATTGAAACGCAAAATACCTGAAAAGAAAGAAAGAAGAAAACAAAGATTCAAGCTGCCTAAACCCTGCACACAGACAGCATGGTCCTCCAGCGCTTTTTCTGAAGTACGGTAAGCTTCACCGCAAAGTTTTAAGGCTATCCCGAAAAGCGGACTTTTGAAATCCGGCATGGCGTGTGAGCAGCGGTGGATTCTCAGTAAAGCATTCATTCTTCAAAGTGTTTCAGCTTACAATGCTTCACACTTTGTCGTACTGTGGCTCAATGAAGCAGGCGATGGGGCGCGAAAGCGGCTGAACTTTCAAGCATGTCCGAAAACTCAGCAGCCTCGCATCCTTATCACCGATGACTATTTTCACAATGATAATACTATGCCAACCTCTGAATTAGCTTTTTTTCGAGCAATCTGATTGTAGCAATATTTGGTTATCGTAACGAAGTTTCCATAGCACCTGGTATTGTTGTAAATAGGTTCAACAGCATTATGAAATTATTACACGTGAATTCGTCCTAAGTAAGTGAAGGTAAGCGTACTGCATCTGCCAGATCAAAACCTTCGAGGATATTGAGTGCCTCGAGCATCAGAGCCCCGTGAGTGGGAAGTGGTGTTGTGTGCACAGTTACGTTTCCGTGATATGTCGTTTTCACGGGTTCCACCTGCATGGGCTCCGATGACGCCCGATGGTCGGAAAGGTCCTTGGTCGACAAGACACCACTCGCAGAGTGCACGGCTTCTACCATGCATTCAGCCACGAAGCCTTCGTATATCGCACGCGGTCCCTCAGCGGCAATCCTCTGCGGTTGTATGATAAAGAATGACGCCATAATATGATACCTTGAGAAAACATTGCCTGATGATGCAACATGTACACGTGAGACAGCCGGTTATGTAAAACAAACTTAGGATTATTTGTATGACAAATATAAATCTAGAGCGCAATGACTGCATTGCAATAAATCACTGACATCATCCTCGAGGTGACAACGGCATGACAGATGCCATGTGAAGTTACAGCTGCACAACAAAAATAGTAATGTTCAAATGCCGTATCCTTCTCTCATGGCTCTAAAATTGTGGTGAAACATTTCATCTCTGTTTACGCGAAGGTTTTGAATAATTAATTCCACTGGCTGTACTATCACACTCACTGTCCTTCTTACCAGGTCAAGTTAACAGCCATCTAAGATACTAGCCATCATGTTCACCTTACACACAAATGACAGCGCACTTGTCAGGAGCTGCGCTACATTAGAAAACATTCACGTTTCGATCTGTTACTTATGTGAGGGTTTTATTATCACCAGAGCGTGAGTGTTCCCGGTTGTTAGCTTTCAGCTCTGCTAAATTCAAAAAAAAAATAAAGAACACTTGAGCTTCGCCGTCAAGGCAGAACGTGATAATATACTCAGGCCCCGTTCAACGCGACATGAAGTGTGCTGATAGGAAAGAAGTGTTCGCGCCAGTAGCATTCGTTGTTTGAAACTATCCTAGAGTCCCTACTTCAAGTTCAGTTACGATGTGTCCACTGCGCCATAATTTCTCCTAGTGCGTAGAGGGCAATACGGACGTGTATTGCCCACTATGCATCTGTAAAGGGCTATTCGAATATGCACAGCTGCATATTTTGTAAGGGGTGCTCAGCTTTATGCTACTGACCAGTAGGGCTACTCGTGTGTTATCACGTCTGCCTATATTCTACGACTCTGTCTAGCTATGCGTTATGTCAATTCTCCCCGTTACATGGCATCCTTATAGTGCCTTTTGCGAAGCCATTGCAAGCACTGGCATGAATTTATGGTACAACACCTGCTTTCAACGCGGAATGCCCATGACGAAATCATATTCGAACCAAATATTTTGATTAAATTTTGTAGCATATCTGTTGAAGTTTTACTCTTAAAAGACACAAATTATAAGCTCGTAACGTAAGACACCGGTGACGACACTAATATCAGAATGTCTGCCTAACTTGCTATTTAGTTCTAATGCGTTAGAATAAGAAATTTCGACAAGCTCCATGTGCAAAGCTGCGGTGTGCTACCACATTTCTCTGGCATTAACATGAACTATTGGGTAGCAAACGGTGCCTCATATTCCCTGTTTCAGCTTACCTGAATAAATGTTGGAACACCGTTAGAAGGGTTTCGGAATGTTTGCTCGAGCCATGCTTTTCTCTTCAAGAAGGAACATTTGTCAGCTACAAGTATTTTCGAGGCGTTACTAAGTATATGATGTAATTAACGCAATTAACCTTAGAAAGCGAAAGTGAGAGAGGATTCAGTGCACTTTTATTAAAATTATTCCTATGCAATGAATTTACAATGCAATATTTAATAGATAGATAGATAGATAGATAGATAGATAGATAGATAGATAGATAGATAGATAGATAGATAGATAGATAGATAGATAGATAGATAGATAGATAGATAGATAGATAGATAGATAGATAGATAGATAGATAGATAGACGGACAGACAGACAGACAGACAGAGAGACAGACAGAGAGATAGATAGATAGATAGATAGATAGATGATAGATAGATAGATAGATAGATAGATAGATAGATAGATAGATAGATAGATAGATAGATAGATAGATAGATAGATAGACGGTTGGCTGAATGAATGGAAATGACCAAAAAATTTGTATTCCGCTCAGCAACTTTTCGCATTTAAAATTGTTTAGCAGCAACCGTTGTTTACCTAGATCAAGATGTCAGACTCATACGAACCTTGATCGTGAGCAATAGTCGCCGTTTGACACCGGTTTTATTGCTGTGTGCAAACAACCTACGCTAAAGCGTGACTCTGCTGTTTAAGGCAGAAAGATGATACACACTTGCCTTTAAAAGCTGTGCCAGTGGCTGGTTCACTACGAATTGCCCCAAAGCAGGCACTTCGCTCTCATTGTTCAAAAAGAAGTGACCACCCGGCATCAGCTTGAGACTCTCCTCTCGGAATTGCTATTGATTGTACTTTGTGTGATCTATGGGAAAACCATGCTCGGCGTAGTGCATCGCCGGTGAAAACAGCTCGGAGAAACTCAACTGCCTGGCACGAAAAAAATATATATATCTGAATTGCCACACGGGTAAATTTCCGCGAAACACAGCAGGTCATGATATGCTACATGTCTCGACTGAATAAATACACGAACAGTGCAATGTGTTGTTTTTCATCTATGATGGCAATACTAAAAATATTTACTGACGTTGTAGGTTCTGGAATAACTCAGTGGTTATGAGGCGTGCCATGTTGGAAGACTCCGGCACTTTCGGCTCTAGTCAACCTGCATTGACCTCTTCCTCTTGCTTTTTTTTTGAAATGCGACCTTCATGGAAGGTATGGAACCCACACCTGTCGGGGTGTCTCCCAAACAACATATGCACTGTTGCATTGCGGTGGAATTTGTTTTCATGTCGCACTAATGTGGTGCATTAAGGCAAGCACTGGGAGACAACATTTTAAACACCAGTCTGATAGCAGGTTGCTGTCATAAATTTTCGTCTGTAAAATTCGAATCTGACCACCATTAGCGCCTGCGATTCGTCGTTTCCCTCATATCGAAGAAAAAAAACAAGTCAAAATCAACCCATCAGTTATACAGAAAGCAGTAAGAACATGGAGGTCCTTGCCGTTATATTTCTCATGGCCAAACAGTTTCATTTCAGAGAAACAAAAAATAAGGACAAAAACAAAGGCATAAGAGATTATGCTCTTTGTTCATGTAACTTGTCGCGTTTGTATTTGTATTGTTGCACTGCCTTCTGCAAGACTGAATAACAACGCGCCAAAGGAAGCATTCTTCTGTAGAAGTGTGCCACTTCTGTCAGTTGTGGGCGCACGGTTATGCTACCTATATTTAAAAGCCACTTAGTTTGAATATGTATTGCCACTCTAAACAGCTACCGGTTTTTACCGTTCATTTTCAAATACATGCAAACAACCTTATTATGCAAGCGAAGACAGCAAATTAACTGCAACTGTCATGTCAAAACCATTCAACTTTCTGTACAGAATAAGGTTGCTTTAACAGACGTCTGCTTCATTCTGGGTGTACTTTCGATTTTTGGCATGGCCACGTGGCATGGCCACTTCAACCACGATCAAGGTCTTTCTCTGGTAATCGTTCACCAAAACTATACAGTTATGTTCCTGAGCGAATATACATTACTCCGGCTCGGAGGCATCTTTACCTGCCCTCGAGACTCGTAATGAGCAAGCTCGTGTACCTTTTCATTGAGTTTAACCAAACGGGACCCAATTTAAGCTTAAAGTGCCACTTCATTTTTACGTGGTAGGCTCCTTCGTTTGACTTGACTTCATGCTTTCCTTATTTTGCAAGTTCATGTTCATAAAAAATAAGTCCGCTTTTTCACGTAACACACGCTAAACAGCTGCCATTCATCGATGCGGTTAGTGCTTAGCTGCTTTTGAAGAATGCACTTCGATAGTGCACAGCCATGCGAGCACACTTCCAAAAAAGGCGCGCCCAAGGCGTGCCTTGAGCCTGGAACACTGAAAATACCGTTGATACGTTTGTAACTCAGCAACACATCGACAATGCCCACACATTGAAGACTACCGTAATGGCTAAGACAGCGGAGAATACGTTGCGTCATACACTTCTCAGGCACCACCACTCTATCAAACCCACGCTTTTTTATCATCTTTCACCTGTCACTATATACCTTCATTTAGGAATCGACGTTAACTTCGTTATAGAAAAACGTTCCTTCCAAGTCTTATCAGAGGGAATAGAATAGCGTCCATAATATCAATATTCTGCGTTGAAAGGGAGTCGTTTGGTCCGCCTTGGTGGCGTAGCAGTTTCAATGCTCGGCTACAGAGCTTAAAATCGCGAGTTCGACTGCGGCCGTGGCAATTGCATTTCGATGAAGGCGAAGTGTTTAGGCCCATGCACTTTGTCGATGCACGTTCAAAAACATCGGATGGTCGAAATTTCCGAAGCCCTCCACCATGGCATGTATCACATTCATAACGTGGTTTTGTCATGTAAAATCACAGTTATCATTATTGTTAAAAATAATATTGAGAACCGACAGACAATTATGCCAAGCAAAGTATAGGAGACATCAATAGAAGTAATTGTAATATAAGTGCCAAGAAAGAAAAGTGAATGAAAAGATAACTTGGCGTAGGCACAAACTGAACTTGCGACCTTCGAGTAACGCGTTCAATGTTCTACCAACCATGATACCAAGGCAGCTATCTCCCCATCCAATTTATTGAGTGTGTATGTGCATTAAACGTGGGTGCATCAGTCAGCGCCGCCTTTTGCCATTTCGGCAAGGGTAGGACGCTCACTTTTTTTTTGCCTATGGCGTCACGTATCACGTGATTTTGCCACGAGCTGGCAGTTGAACAACAAAAAATAGCTTCCTGAGGACAGTTATCTTTTCATTCAGTTTTATTCTTGGCATAGATATTACAATTACTTTATTATTATCCTCTATACTTTTCTTGGCGTAATTGTTCGTAAGTTCTCATTATTGTTGTGTCTAACAAAGAAAACAACGCCTTAAATTTACCCTTGTTTTCTATATTGTTAAAGATAGTTATACATAAGACAAACTACTGAGACGCCAACTTTTCGTTTCAAATAGTGTTGGCGACATTTCAACTCAGCTCTAAAAGCAGCGGATGCGAATCTTCACATCCACTTTTTTCATGCTTGTTCAACTCCTACTCTTTACCAATTGTTTTAACACTACGCACCCACGGCACCGTTATTACAATAAAGTTTCCTCATGGACGGCTTCGTTCTTTTAATGCGCGGGAATCGCCACATTCATTCTGCCTCTCTTAGACTTACTCCGTCAAATAAGCAGAAACTGGCAATCCTGCACCTGTAATTCACCAACATATCATACATGACGTCTTCAACTGTACCTTGGTTTGTGTTCAAAGTGGTATGGCAAGTCCACAGTATTCAAGCGCTGAAGAACAACTCCAAGGAAAAGCAGAAACGAACTACACGAAAAATGTGCATCAATTACTCTCTCTGGTTCACTGCTGTGCCTTATGAAAACTACATAACTTTTATCTCAACAGCCTTTCTGTAACAGCAAGTGAACACCGCGTTTCTTACAGCATCATTATTGATTGAGTGATTTGTGGAGTTTAACGTCCCAAAAGCACCATTTGATTATGAGAGACGCCGTAGTGGAGGGCTCCGGAAATTTTGACCACCTGGGGTTCTTTAACGTGCACCCAAATCTGAGTACACGGGCCAACAACGTTTCCGCCTCCATTGGAAATGTAGCCGCCGCAGCCTGGAATTGAACCCGCGACCTGCGGGTCAGCAGCCGAGTACCTTAGCCATTAGACCACCGCGGCGGGGCTACAGCATCATTATTTTTGACGCCTTCAGAATAATTTATTAAAAAAGATGAATACCCCTCTACCAACCTGGCAGGAAAACATTGGTAAATGCATTGACTGTAGAGCACAGTAGGCATACGGTACTATTGCGGAACTTTGAAAAAGCGGTCGTCAGACATGCCTTTGTGGAGCCAAAGTGGGTGATAATATGATGCCAAGCTTTCGCTGCGCCCGGCACCGTCACGTGAAGCCCGTACATCTGCTTCTGGTGAAGGTATCGAGACTCCACGAGCTCCAGAGTAAGGCCTGCTGGACTACTGCCACTGTGTGAGACACATATAAGGGAGCATCGTGTACTCAAGAAACCCGCACACCAGAAAGTAATCAAAGTCACCATAGTCTCTCGGATAATAATTTCCACATGTGGGTTCGAACTTACGGAACTATTGCGCGAAAGGCCATATTACGGAAAGTCATAAAAACTTTGTAAAAACGGCTTTTATATAGCATATTTTGATAGCAAATCTTAACAAACAGTCATACCGCTATTCGCTATGACTTTGTGTGCTGCCATTACACTAAATTTTTTTCAGACCGTTATGAAAACATGTATCAGTTTAGCTAAGGTACTGAATATTTCTTCCCAGATGTGCTACCTACTTGGTTGGGTATTGTGAAAGTAGGGAGTTGTGTTTATTGAAGGTGTTGACTATTTGTTATAGGATATACTAATTGCATAAAAATAGAGACACGAAATTTAGCGGCAGCATTGCTGATTTCTGTGGAAAGCATTACCAGTGATGGCTGCGATGTACCGAGAGGGAGTTACAACTACAAACGCGCCTTTTTCACAACAATCAAAATCATTCACCCATATCGCATAACGCTGTATTTCACCAACAACTACAAAAATAAAAGAATTTCGATGATTTGAGAGACGAACATGGAGGCATACATGTCACATGGTCCAAGATGAAACAGTTTATTTGCCCGAACATGTGGCTGGTAAACGGAAAGTCGGATTACAGCTATACACTCTGGCACTAATAGCGGCGAGCAGAACGTCAGCCTTCGATTGGTTGATTTATATGTGGGGTTTAACGTCCCAATACCACCAAATGATCATGAGAGACACCGTAGTGGAGGGCTCCAGAAATGTCGACCACCTCGGGCTCTTTAACATGCACTCAAATCTGAGCACACGGGCCTAGAACATTTCCCCCTCTATCGGAAATGCAGCCGCTTCAGCCGAGATTCAATGCCGTGACGTGGGGGTAAACAGCCGAGTACCTTAGCCACTAGACCACCGCGGCGGGACACGTCAGCCGTAGATCAAATGAAAAGCAGTGACGTGTCTGGGCATTTATGCTTGCGCCATGGAATGCCCCAGCCTTGTCGCTAGCGGCCGCGTAAGTTTCAGAACAACCTGTAATGCTCAAGTCATGCGCACGATCTTAACAAAATCGTTTGCTACAGCCCTGAAGCTTGTCGAACACTGCATACAAGGTTTCAACTGGACATTTCCTTCCAGAGAAAGCGAACTTTCTTGTTTTCAGGCTTTTCAGCATCAGCGTAGTGGAAGTTTGGTGAAATCTATGAACAGCACCACGTTTTCGTTTGGTAACTGCGAACGGGTTTCAAGCAGTGCCTCGACCCTTCAGAGAAAAGTCTCCTGCAGTTATACAAGGCATTGTTTGTGGGCTATATACGGTACAGCTCACCTGTACTTTCCAGCATGCGGGCAACGTGCCTTCGTACTTTAGAGAGCCTTCAGGCACGATCACTGAGAATATGCTTTGGCCTGCCACGGTGCACGTCAACCTCTGGCACTATAGAGGAGTCCCGCACCTACCCTATACAGGTTCACACTTCCAGTGAGCCTCTTCGAGTGCACCTTCGTCTGGTGACCCGACATGCACAGCTCCCGTTGTCTTCGCTACAAGTGGACCGACCAGGCTGTACCTATTCGCGATGCCTCGATACGCATAGGCACATGATCCCTTCAGGCTTTGCACCTGCCGTAATCCCTGCAGTGCCTCCATGGGCATTGACTAAACCACTGGTGTGCCTTCACATGCGTGAAATTTTGTAAAAGTCGCGTGTTTCTTATATTGCCCTCAAGCAACTCACCTTGGCACATTTAGATGACAGATACAGCGACTCTGTGCACATTTACACCAATGGATCCGTAACTTCATCCGCCTCAGCAGCAGCCTTCGTGATCCTCAACTCGATATTTCCCGACAGTACGAATTAGATCATAGGTCATCTTTGACAGCTGCAGAACTTGTTGCTATACAAGAAGCCATAAAATGTGTGAATGACCAAACACCGCGCAAATGGACGATTCTGTATGATGCAAAATCAGCGCTTCAAGCTGTTCATTCTTGCTCAAGAAGAGGCCGATTTTACGACTCAGCGTTAGGAATCGTCGAAGCATTTGACCTAACACACAGGAGTGGTCACTTGATTACACTTCAATGGATTCCTAGACACTGCGGCCTGGTTGGCAACGAAACAGCCGATAGCGAAGCAAGAGCGGCAATATACAATGCTCCTATGCACGTCAAAGTACCGTATTCGCGAAGTGACGTCAACACATTGTTGAGCTCGCGCATGCGTGAATGCGCTTCCACTTACTGGTCGCTACCAGATCACCAGAACAAGCACCTGCGGGAAATAGACCCCGGCTTGACTTTTCGTCTTCCAGATAAAATCAGCCGTAAACATGCTATTATACTGCACCGAATTCACCTGGGCGTCGCCTTCACTCGCCACTACACCCACCTAATCGGCCGTGTGGACAGCCCGAATTGTGAACGCTGCCAAGTGCGCGAAACGATAGCTCACATATTTTGTAACTGTGCATTATACGTGGCGCAAAGAAAAATGCTAACTGCAACGTTGGCAAGCATCGGACGAACACCATTAAGTGAAAGCCGTCAGCAATGAACGACCAAACAGTGTCGAAAACTGCTACAAAGGCTGTTCTAGACTTTATAAAAAGCACTGGACTAGAAAATAGACTATAGGGTACTATGCTAAGTGGCTACTGTACATACGCACCACCTCTTCTTGTCTCCATCAGCACCCTTCATCCCTCTTTCTTTCCCCTTTCCCTTATCCCCTGTGTAGAGTAGCAGGCTAGAGCGAACTAGCTCGGGCTGACCTCTGTGCCTTCTAATAAATTCTCACTCACTCTCTCTCTCTCTCTCAACCCTCACCTTACTGATGATGCTCGTGATTGTATTGAGCATCGTGGTGCGGAATATGCCCCAGATTTTTAAGTTCCTCCCTTGGTTTTTTAACCTTATGCGAGCGGCGTCTTGCCGCGGGAAGTACGCATGGCCAAGATTGTCTTCGCTGGACCAGACACTGAAAACCACGGCTCTGTCGTATACTTCCAGTCAGCTTTCTTAGTTTTCGGTCTTAGTTTTTTATAGTAGTTTCAGGTAGACACTCGTGCTCTGGTAAGAGCTCTTCTGCTGGCGCCTGGCTTGCTCCTCAGTGTTGGCGTCGAAGTCCTCTTGACGGTGTGGGATTGTGCAACGCCACCTAAAAGCTTGACCTAACGGCTCGTCAGCAAACGAAGTGAGTAAAGTTATCTGCGATATCTGGTCCCATAGTTCTTCATAGGACTTGTTCCTGATGAGACGATGACATCATGATATTACGAGAAAACGCAATGCTCCGCAAAACCACTCTCCAGTTTTGAAAACAACCTCGATGGCAGTAGAAGAAAGCCCCCTCCATAATCTTTTTCAATTTTTTATTTGGAGCAACATTACAGTGATAGGCTGGCATTTTCTGAGTCCTGGTTTTACTCCAGAAGACTTACTGTATGACCTCCTCGTTATTAAGTCGAAATATCCACGATGCTTCCTTGGCTGACCAATTTTGACGAATGCTCTCATTATACCCTCTGCAGTCTTCACACAGGGCAATATCACTTTTATCACATTACGACGAACACCGCTCATACCTTTGTCAGCGGATAACACAGCAAGGCAACTTCAGCAAATCGCAAATATTGCTACGCTAACGCACTGAATTTAACTGCTCGTCTCATATTGTTGCTGGCAGAACATTGATTGATTGTTAGGTACAAGTGCCAAGATTTTTCGACGTGATGCTACAAGGCTGTGTCAATTGTGGGTAAGTGTAGTTATCGACTCATTCGGCTACTACATTGGCATTGCGAATTTATTCTTGGTGATACCAGCAATTGTGTGCAGTTGTTCCTCACTTCTTGCACCATTGTCTCTAATTATAGAGTATTACCGCACTCCCTAAGGGGCATTTAGGAGACTAAATAACCGGTGTTTTTGATTTAATAAAGGAATGAATCTGGAGCTTGATCCCACTTCTTATCACCTCAAAAGGCCACACGTGGTCTGCTTTAGTTGTTGAAGCTAAAAAATGAGTGATAAACCTGTGATATGCTGCACTCACTATGTCGTAAAATGGATGCACTGAAGGTTTTCTCTTTCTTTCTTTCCCTTTCTTTATTATTCCCATACTCCACTCTCCATGCGCAGCTTAGCACACTGGAAGTAGTCTGAGTAAACTAGTCGCCTCTCCTTGATTCCTTTTTTTTCTTCCTGTCTCTCTGTGATCTTGCTTAAAAGTGGTTGAAGAATCAGAAGATTTGTCTTCAAAAAAGCTGTTCTGCGGACTCTTCTCATACCACCAGGAAACACATCGTCATCGTCAGTGGACTTGGTTGCACCGGAAAGGAACAGAGGCTAATTACCCTGTTCTTAGTTATTCAGATCGCTCTGTGCCCTTCGGAGCATATCGCTGCGGCCGGTGATCATGCCTGGCTTCAGTTCAACACTTCGCTGTCTGCGCTGCACCAATGCACCATACACAGAACGGAGCTGCCACTTCACGTCGAAAGCGCATGCGTATCGCGTGAACCCTGGTGGACCAGCACCGTGACGTCAACGGACGAACCACATCTCGACTGTATAAATAGTGGCAGTGCAGGCCGATTCTTCAGTGGACTTGGTTGCACCGAAAAGGAACAGATCCTAATTCTCCCGTTCTTCGTTATCCAGGTTAGTAAAAAAGTCTATTATTCTATTCGAGACGACTCTTTACCCTTGACGGTGCTGCGAAGTCCACGTTTCCTTCTCGACACAATGAAAAATTGTGTAGATGTCATCAAGTTGCTGTTACTAAGCGTCAGAGGTATAGACACCAACCCAAAGCCAACTTCCGACTCTGAATAACAATCCAGGTGAACAAACAGTCTCTTGAAAAAGATATTGGAAGAGCAAACAAAAACCTCCAAATCCTTGAAGGTATTAACTTCAAACTTGAAACGAGTTGAATCTGTGGTAATCAACGTTCAGGAGCGGGTTTCTTCTATCGAAAAAGAAATAAGCCACCTGCAGGCTCTTGAACAAAAAGTAGCGGTTTTTGAACAATCCTTTAAGGTCCCGAACATCCAACTTTTTGAGCTGTCGGCTAAAGTTTACGATTTCGAAAATCGAAGCCGATGAAACAATCTAGTAATTTACGGCATCGAGGAAGGTCCCCGTGAAGATTGGAAATAACTTGAAATCCAAATTAAACAAAACGTGTTTAAACAATTGTTAGGCACAGAATCAAGTCGATTGAAAGAGTTTGTCGGGTGGGGAAATGCCAAAAAGAACGCCCCTGTCCAGTTATCCTTCAGTTGTATGACTTTGCAGAAAAAACAAGAATTCTATCTGAATGTAGCAAACTGATAGGAACAAAAATCGCTATTTCAGAGGATTTTACAAATAAAGTGCGCGACATACGAGGAAAACGTTGGCAATCACCAAAACAAGGGAGAGCGCAAGGCGCAAAGGTGTCGCTAAATTACGACAAGATGAAAGCACGCGGAGAACTGTTTGTCTGGGACACGCTTCAAAACAAATAGGTGAAAATAACAAAACCAGTTGCGCCTGCGCGAAAGCAGCAAAAAAGCCGAAGCAAGCAATGACTGCCTTTGCGAGTTGTGTCACCTAATGCCCATAGTGCTTTAAACAAGCTATCTCTACTCGAAAGCATAATACTAAATCATAATCCACACATTTTAGTCATTACTGAAACATGGTTGCATGATGACCTACTCGATTCTGAAGTTGTTCCCTCTTCATACAAATCATTCCGTAAATATCGAACAACACGGAGTGGCGGGGTTGCTATAGCTATGGAAAAGAGCACAAGTCTTCTCGTTTAGAAGACAGTACCGACCACGAAAGTGTGTGGGGCAAGGTCAATTACCATGGTAGAAGCATATTTCTTTGCGCAGTATACCGGTTACCAAGCTCTTCCTCTGACTATCTAAAAATTATGAACGATTACACTGCGCACCATACGAATTCACGTTCGAAAATAATTCTTTGTGGTGACTTTAATTTGCCCAGTATAAGAAGGCCAGACTTATCCAAGACCAACGAGAGAAAGCAAGTTCAGAATCGTTACTACTGACAGCATTCAGTTTTTTTATTGTCCCAACTACTATCTTGTGCCACACGTGTTGTAGATTTTCGTTCGTCAATACTTGACCTCGCGTTTGTTGGTAGTTCAATCGAGGACTCCGGTATCAGTGAAGATGAATATTTCGACATCAAATTATTATCTTCTTTTGCCCTATAACACTATCTCAAATAACAAGAACAAGTTGCACCACTCATTTTGGAGACTAAGCGCATTCAGACGGCGATGCCATTTTAGCCCTTTAAGCGTCATTCTTTACAAGTTTTGAAAAAATTGACAACTTACGTGAAATGTGTTCATGCTTTAAAGATATCGTGAGTTATTTTGAAACATATTACGCTCCGCCGAAAAGAAAACGCGTTGGTCGAGAGTATCTGTAGATGACGCGCGAGATTATACATCTAAAAAGAAAGTATAAATGACTACGGAAGCATGGAGTGTCTAGCAAACTACAGAGCCTTTTCGTAACGGCAAAACACAGAGTTTCTACTGGTAAGTCTCACTTCTTCTCGGAAACACTACCGTCTTTCATTCGATCCGATGCAAAAAAGTTTTCGCACTGCTTGTCAAGTAAGCATTCCGATATCCCTCAGCTTTCATCGTGACATCAAATAATCACCGAAGCAGACCAAATATCAGATAAATTGAACGTTTTTTTTTCATTCCGTCTTCATGCAAGGGTCTTCTAGAGGAACTTTGCCATCGTATTCTTCATTTGAACCTATTTCAAAAAGAAATAAAAACTGCAAAAACTTGATTTCAAGAAGTTTCCAGGCCCGGATAACATTTCAAACACTTTTCCTAAAAAATATGCTGAGTGGGTGAGTCAATTTTTTTATAAAGTACACATTAGCTCCCTATGTACACACATGATCCCAGATGATTGGCGCACTGCTAAGATCATTCCCATACGTAAATCAGGATGTATACAGCAATTACCGCCTGCTCTCTAACAAGCACGAACTGCAAAATAATAGAGCATATAGTTTTTAAAGATAATATAGCTCACTTAGATGCTAACAACTTGCTCTACTCTAGACAACACAGATTTAGATCTGGCCTGTCAACAGTTACACGGCTAGCCGAGATGACCAATGACATTGCAAATTCACTCAACACAACAGGACAAAGAGATGCCGTTTTTCTGGACTTTCCAAAAGCCTTTCATGTCGTCCCCCACCATGACTTCATAATGAAAATGCAAGCAATTTGTATTGAACATAAAGTTATTCAATGTGTAATATCATACTTAAAAAATCCCAAACAATTCGTTTCCGTGAACACCAATATCTCAAGCAACTTAGGCGTCTTGTCAGGCGTACCACAAGGATCCGTATCAGCGCCAACTCCATTTCTTATCTATATTAAAGACATTTCTTTTTCATCAACCCATCTATTCAACTAAGGCTTTTCGCAGTTGACTGCGTCGTATACACGATGGTAAGTCAATTTCAGGGCCAGCTTCACCTTAGGCACTCACTACAAAAAATTCAGGCATGGTACTCGAAATGTGGAATGACACTGAACCCAAGAAAAACGGTAGACATAACATTTACAAACAAGAAAAACCCTCTTAATTTCAAATACAAACTAGGAAATTCGGAAATCACCAAAAGTAATGAAGTTAAATACTGGGAAGTTACATTAACATTCAATCTCAGTTGGAAAAAACATATAGCGACTATTTGTGCGAAAGCGCAAAGAAAGCTGTCGTTTGTCAAGAGAAGACTAAGCAACGCGCCCGCTGAGGTTAAGCTAACCGCATATAACACACTACACCAGAACTTGAATATGCCGCCAAAATTTAGAGTCCCCATCACAAATTTCTCATCAAAAAATTCAGCGAGCTCAAAATTTGGCAGTCCAATTTGTGTTTTAAAAGTATTCCCGTCGTACCACTCTTACAGCTCTGTGCAAAAAAATCCGAGTTGTGCTATCTTGATCAACACTTAAACAATTTCCCAACTTAAAGTCCTGTATAATCTGTTAAATGAACATTATAAAATATCCGGAACAGAACAGCTCCTTCAGTCCCTGAAACACTCCTCAAGAACTAACCACAACAAGACAATAGCGCTTCCTGAAAGTCACAGTAACATTCATGAAAACTCTCTTTTCCCATGATCAATAGCATACTCGAAGAGTCTATCATCATACGCGGTGAACTGTAACACGGTACACCCTTTTGTTCAAGAAATCAGCAATATTTTTTGTTCTGGTTATTGCATTACATTTTTGTATTATGCTCGCATGTGATATAAGCTTTATATCTTTGAAACTGTTAACAAGCATCATGCGTGTAACTGACTGTTTTTTAATGAGATCGTTACTTTTGACAGAATTGTAATAATTTTCTGTATTACCCCTCCTGCTGCAATCAAAAAGGCCTGAAGTATATTGAAATAAATAAATAAAAGTCCTGCCCAGAGTCCGATCATTGCCTTCTGTCGCAGCGCGCATGTCCTATTGCTGCTCACCTTCCGTCCACACAGTGCACCTGCTTTTCTTGCGCGTTGTGGTAGAGGGCGAAACAGTCGCCGCCAAGACCAGAGCTGAAAGGCTGCAACACGTGCATGCAGGCTGCCATTTCGACTGCTGCATCTGCAGCGTTTCCTCCACTGGGAAGAATATCTGCAACAATGTCACTTTTCAAAATCAATGAACACATGGCACTTTTACACAGGCGAGCATTCTCCATAGCGTAGAATATACAATTTAAAATATCAGTTTCAGCACTCAGATTAATCAACCACTTAGGCGCATCGTATGCAAAGGCTTGTGATGTAATTTATATACTCTGGAAAGTAACACTTTTTTGCAGGCTAGTTCGTTCATACTTGAAAACTTCACTTGTAGCGCAAGCTGAAGAAAAACTGAAAGGGAGACACTGTACTCTTTTTTGTCTACCTCCTTGTTTTTCAGTAAGTCGAGTTTTCAAGTTTAGAGAGCCTTGTTATATTTTCCTAGTATTTCTCTGGAGACTAAACAGTTTAGCTGTCTTTCCTTTCACATTTTATTTATTTCGCGTAGGATGATCATCGCAATAAATAAATTTATGCAACAACAACAACTTTTTTGTATTACAACACTTCCATCTGTGTACACACAATCCAAAGTAAAGTGACCATAACCAAGTGAGGTAATAATGTGAGTATGACCACAGCAATCAAGTTTTCAAGATTCAAAAGGCGCAAAATGGAGGTATAACGCTTTCAGTGAACGCTTTTTTTTTATTTCACAGCAGCAGTGTGAAATCCTTCTCTGTGGTAACAGAAGAAGTAGACATCGCGGATCGTACACGTTAAGAAAACTCTAGTAATGCAAAGTCTGTTGTGAAACACGTGTTTCTCGGCTGGCGGTGTGCGCTTAAAGAACGCTAGAAAGGTTCTAGGTAAGCCTGTAAACTGTAGTGGAAAGCTGTACTTACATATCACTTACGCTGACAGAGAAACAACTTGATTTATATCTTCTGAAGGAGAATATCTGTGATAATGTGAGGGAATTCACTCGCTGTAGGCCTTCTCTGCCACCTCAGCCCCCATCTGGGAAGCTGCGCATTACAATGTACCATAGCGTCTGGCCACTTATCGTTAATGAGAGCTTGGGCAATGGCAGTGGTTTTTACACTGCCACACAATGTGGTTAAGGTGTAAACTCCTGAAACACACAAAAAAACCTGGCCTTCCACATCGGGGACACTCCCGGGTTAATATTGTGAAGTATCACCAGGTTCAAAAAAGTACACGTATGTAGTTTAGGCCATATGGCCTCGCGCCGGTGAGGTCACATGGCGTAAACAGGTAGTTTCGACGGGCTAGGCGACATTACCTGCCAATTTCGTGGTATGTAAGCAAGCTTTTTTAGAGGTTAATTCTGGAGGGAGATGAGAACTTTGTGATGCTGAACCTAGTCTAGTCTGCACTCAGATTGCTATAGGTCGCGCCATTGCGTGTTCAACTTCATTATCGATTAGCCATGTATGTGTCTATGCATGTTCATGCATGATTGGCCACGATTGTGTCCTTAGTATTGTCACAATTTTGAAGGACAAACTACTGGAGAGAATCACTTGCGCTGTCCTGAAAGCAGTAAGCTTTTCCAAGGAGGCCCTGCGTGCAGTTTCGTTTGCCATTGCTGGTGTGTCTAACTAGCATTCATGTATTTCTTTTACCACATAGAACACTGGACTTACAATAGTGATAAAAAGTAGTAATATACAATGATTTTGAAGAAGCATTGCATTTTCAATAACGCAACACCGACTTCAAATGGGCTTAGATGGAGTGATTTTATGTATACACTTTACAACACAATATATATATATATATATATATATATATATATATATATATATATATATAATCTGAGATCTAACAGACAATATTGCCAAGAAATGTAAAGCGAAAATTATTAGAACCAACGTAATGTAAATAAGAAGAAAAAAAAGTGGGCGAAAAAATGACTTGCCGTGAGCAGGAATCGAAGCTATGGCCTTCGAATAGCGCGTTCAATGCTCTACCACTGAGCATTCAGGGCGGCTATCCCCCCAGCCACTTTGTTGGATTTATATGTGAATTTAAGCGTGGGAGTGTCAGTCAGCGCCACCTGTGGCCAGGCGGCGAGTGTGGCACATTTTTTTTCATGCGCCTGTATGGCATCACGTAGCACGTGAACTTATTACGAGCTGGTAGCTGACCAATAGTCCCTCGTATACAACCTAACGGCACCAAGTCTCCAGTACGAGACCGTCTTTATTGAATAAGGGAAAGAAGTGTAAACCTAAGGGCTCGTTTTTCCGTAATTTGACACAATATTAATGAGATCTAACAGACAATAATGCCAAGGAATGTATAGGTGAAGCTATTAAAACCAACGTAATGTAAATAATAAGAAAAGTGGGTGAAAAAATAACTTGCCGTGAGCAGGAATCGAACCTACGACCTTCTCATAACGCGTTCGATGCTCTACTTCTGAGCTATGACGGCGGCTATCCCCCCAACCACTTTATTGTGTTTATAAGTGCGGAAGTTTCACTCAGTCAGCGCCAACTCTAGCCATGGCGGCGAGTGGGGCACACTTTTTTCGAGCCTGTATGGAGTCACGTAGCACGTGAACTAATTACGAGCTGGCAGCTGACCAATAGTTCCATACAGGACTCCATACAGGCTCATAAAAAGAGTGTGCCACACTCGCCGCCATGGCTACAGGTGGCGCTGACTGACACTCCCACACCTAAATTTACATATAAACCTAATAAAGTGGCTGGTGAGATAACCGCCCTGATAGCTCAGTGGTAGAGCGTCGAACACATATTCGAAGGTCGTAGGTTCGATTCCTGCTCACGGCAAGTTGTTTTTTCAACCGCTTTTCTTTCTTCTTACTTACATTACATTGTTCTGAAAGATTCCTCTATACATTCCTTGGCATTACTGTCTGTTAATGCTCAATAATATTGTGTCAACATACGAAAAAACGAGCCCTTAAGTATACGCTTGTTTCTCCTATGTGTATATATATATATATATATATGTATATATATATATATATATATATATATATATATATATATATATATATATATAGTGAAAATAAGTACGCGCCACTGAAAAACTGTTTATTGGTGACGTCTCGATCGGAGACCGATCTTCATCAGACGGATGAAGATCGGTCTCCGATCGAAACGTCACCAATGAACAGTTTTTTCAAAGGCGTATACTTATTTCCTTTAATTCTACGGCAACCAAAGCCACTTTTATAATCTACGTATATATATATATATATATATATATATATATATATATATATATATATATATATATATATATATAGTAAAGTTACTTACTGTTAGACACCAATCCGGGGTGAAGCAACCGTTTAATGGGCCTTAACAGCAGCGAGACAGCAGCCAGCGGTTTCAGCAGCTGCAGCAGCACGAGCCTGCGCCACAACAAACGTCTTTTTCATCGTTTCTTTAGCAGAGCCCGTATTTATCACTACATTGACTCCCCGGTGTCAAAGGAGCCATCCTGACGACCTATGGCTCGGACAGGACTGGTGGGTCGCAATGAAGTTTTAGACCGGCGACGTGCACTGCCTAGTGTCCTCGGTGCCGTTTATCTGTACACTCTAAGGCAAAATTACCCGAAAAAGAAATAACGGAGAGTAATAGGTGCGCGCGATGAACAGATAGACCGTAGAGGAGCAACCACACAGGGAACACAGTAAAATTTTTTACACCCTTATGGGTGTAAAAAGGGTGTTTTCAAGATTTACACCCTCTTTGAATGAATTTAACACCCTTTTCTTTGCTGGTACACCCTCAGAGAAGGGTGTAACGGGAAAAAGGGTGTTATTATGCCGTTCGTGAGGGTGTTGAAGAACAGAAGGGTGTACACCTATAATTGTTGGAATAAAAATTGTTCCGTTTAACGTCCCAAAGTTGTCATATAATCATTAGAGACGCTGTACCGAAGGGCTCCGAAAATTTAAACCACCTGGGGTTACTTAAGGTGCACCTAAGTCTAACTACACAGGTCTCGCACTCTTTCTCGTCCATTAAAAATGTGGCCACCGTGAACTGCCGGGATTCAATCCTGCGACTTGTGGGTCAACAGTTCAGCACCATAAGCACCAGACCACCGGCGCGGGAGTGCACGTGCAAGAATCGAGCTGCATCCATGCGTGCAAATCAAATACCACGCATAGCGCAAGGAATGCATGCCTTTCCTAAGATAACAATGTCGCAGGGATGAAAAAAATCAAGAAAATGATTGAGGCATTGAGAAATTTTACAAACCACTAAGAATAATTGAGAAAATGTAAAAGAGACTAACTTCTTCTCGCACTGTATGATTCGACATGCTTTGCCGCTTTATATCGTCCACATTATATGTGAATAAATGAATGGGCTACTGTCACGATCTACGGACAGCACATATTCATGTGTAGAAGCAATTGAGAAAAAAAAGCTTGAATTTATTACAAAAAACCCTTGCTCGGTCAAAAGCCGTTCGAGTGCAAGTTGTTTTCACAAGATTATCGAAGACGAGACGTGCTTGGTCCAAAAAGAAAACAATGCACTACCTTCTGCAACCATGCGGGAGCACGGGAAGTGGTTTTTAGGTGAAGAAATAAAGGTCACAGAATGGCACGGTCAGTGCACGCAGCGCCTTTGCGAAGCGAAGGGGAGAAGCGTACGAGAGGAGGAAGAGACACGCCTCTCGCCCCCCCCCCTACACACACACACACACACACACACACACACATATATATATTGTGGGACACTGCGACCCACGCCGTAAAATTTGTATTTGCTATCTATTCTCTTTGACATCCCCTCGGGGGGGGGGTGTATGAGGTGATCAGCAGGGGGCGCGGCAACCCCCGTCGAGTTACAGTGCCCCCTCTCTATTTCTCTATGTACCTATACGGATTTACATTGCCCCCTAAGTGACCAAGGGTTGCCCCCGCCCCCCTTCCCCCGTGGTGGGCACGCCTATGCATAGGCACCATCAATCATTGCAATAAAATTTTGTGTGTAAATGTGTGCGTCAACCATAGTACATTTCGAAGTCAAGAACATGAGTGTTTTAGGTGATTATTACCGCTGTTCTTCATTTGTTAAAAATGCATTGTACCTGCAAGCGTTTCAAACTTCGCGCGCTAAGGTCACGTGTTAATTTCTTAATTCGTTTTTTCGTAAAAATAAAAATATTTTTCCTGCTTTGTTTTTATGTTATATATATTTCCGTTTACTTTTTATACTTAACCGCATTACTTAAGCATTTTATTGCGCCTTTGTACGTCTGCGGAGCTGTAACCCCGAACTTGTTTTGGCGTGCTCGCTGGTCGGGCGCTGCAGCTTGTCGGTTCTGCATCGTTTTTTCTCGTTTTTTTGAGGTGTGCTTGCGCGCTGCGTTCGTGTTTTGTGTTCTCCCGGTGCTACCTATTACGAAGATGAACTCTACTCAAGCGAGGACGTGTGGCGTCGCATTTTGGAACACTCGCCAGGTACGTACCACATTCCTGCTGTCGGCGCTTTGTCAACACCGAGAGCGTGATAACGACGCCATGCTACGTTTTTCGTTACATGTGGGCGATAAGTGAAGTTTTTTAACGTAGCGAACCTGTTTGTGTGTGTCATTTCATCAGGATGAAGGCGTTTTTGTAGGAAGTCAAGCGTGGGCGAGCTTTTTCTTTCGATTCAAGCATGCTTCGGTGTGTGAAGCACATGGCGCGTGCCTGCGCAGTGGGAATTCGGCGGCGGATTTGTGCGAGTTGTGACGGCGCTCGCCTCTGTCGGCAGTGGTGTTGGCAGGGAGCCCTGCTCGCGATGGACCAATATTTTGGTTAAATAATTGTTGGGCGAAGACGGCGTTTGTTAGCTGTAAGCGTTGATTACGCCTAGGGCGCGTATGTTTGGATCTCTTAACTTGAGGATTTTTTTTTTTTGCATGCCTGTTCATATTGTGTGCTACAGGAGTCAACGGGTTCATTTGTTGTACGTTTCATACGTTGTACGTCCAAAGCAGTTTGAAAAGTTTCGTATGTTGTACGCCCTTTTTTTAAACTGCTATCAGAAATTGCTGCGGGCAGCCGAACGTATGCCGGTGTATGCATCCACGCCGGCACGCATCTTTGAACTACCGTGTTATTCGAGTTCGCGTGCAGCATGCTGCCTCGTCTTAGATACGGCTCGCAAGGCTTGCACGTATGTACGCTTACGTGTTTATGCAGTCCGTTTAGTCAAATCTGAGCTTACGTTATACACTCGCAACATAGGTTGTCTGATGCGTTCGGAACCCATGAATTTTGAGCCGTTCGTTAAACTTGAACTGTATTTCCGAACAAAATTTTCATGGCTTATTGGGGCCGAATAACTGTAGCTTAACTGATGCGAGCCCTAATTCGATCAGTAGTTCATGCGGTAGAGCACATTTTATTTTATTCAGCTTGTTTTCGCTATGCTTAGATTTCATTATTTTGTGGTGGTTTATTAAATATTGTATGTGCCTCGCCAAAACTTTGTGTTCAAACTTCGCTAAGCAATTTTACTTGTACGAACAGTAAGAACAGTTTAGACCATCACCTCCAATGGCATTTAATAACAGATGACAAGCTTATGCCGATCTGGTCAGAAACACACATGAAAACATTGAAAAACCACACATTGGCCTCGAATAAAAGCACAGTCTTTGTCACTTGTGAATAGGGCTTTTGTGTGGGGGCCAAAACGTCATGATTTCAATTAGGGTCAGCATGTTGTTTTGTCTTCACATCAGATGACAAGCTTCAGTAAATTCTATAGGCATGCGCTACAGTTATAGAAGGGATCTGTGGTGTTTGGAGAAACAAATATATCATTTAACGCTCAAAACTTGCAATAATGTTATACATCATAGTATGCATACATAAGGCATGCACGTGTTGCTGTGAAAATGGAAAATTGGACAGTATGTTCATCTGACAATCATGAATATAGACTGCATGTTTCCAAGCTGTTGGCATTGACGCAATTACACAACTTCAGAAATCAGTCTCGTCAAACGTTTATTGTGTATTGCTAAATCGTGACCAATGCCTTCCAGTATTCTTGTTACTAGAGATCGTTGCAGAAGCTTGCATGCTTTATTGGGATGGTATTTAGCTCAAGATGGGTGCGTTGTATTAGCACTTCCACATTTTTTCCCATTATTTATTAGACAGCCTGTAATGAGGGGTATGTTAGGGATGAGTGAGGGGCACTGCCTTTTTAGCCACCTGGAATCATTAAATTAACAGCCATAATTTAGCAGTTGACAATAGTAATTTAGTGAAACCAATTTTCTTCGTTATCGGCATAATCGTTCTAATGTAGGCAGCCGAAAGAGAGTTGCATTAGTTGTGTTCAAACTAAAATTCGTAATATAACTTTATGTGTTACCTCCAATGGATACTTGATCAAAGTGCATACCGTCATGTACGCACTGCCCTATTATTGAATTGGCATGTATACGCACTATGCCAGAGCGCTATTCAAGTATATTTTGTGACAGATCTGTTATGTGAAAAATGCATATTCTTTCGTAAGGTTGCAGCTATGTTCGCCAAAAACATTGAGGATGTTTTTGTTGTAGCATGTCTGGTTTTCGTACATCCTACTCTTTTAAAACAAAACTTTCCAGATCATTCTAAATTGAGTTCCAAATTCTGCTTCGCTAACAGACACATCAGTAAATTGTTTTTTTGTTTCTCTCGCAGTCTATACATGCTCGTCGTAGGAAGAGAGTGTGGGAGACGTCTGGACTAGCCCATCATCCAAGGCTGGCTCGTGGAAAATTTGACTGCTGGTGCACATCAGTGGCGCAT